TGAGAGGGTGCAGGGACAGTGCAGGAGGGGAAGGCCCTCTATGAGGTGGATTGATTCAGTGACTGGGGTAATCAGGATGGGAGTGTCAGAGACAGTGTGATTGGCACAGGACAGAGCAGAGTTTAGGGATGTTATACATAAGGTCACAAGTGACTCGATGGCACGTAACAACAGCAACATTGAGAACACAGATAAAAATGAAAATGTCTGTTTTGTTTCTGATAAAGCTGATTGAAGAAAGCAACCTTAGGTGGTAGAAAAGGTTCCTGCCCCATCCCCTCCAAATTGGGTTTTCCCCCACTTTACCAGCTGAATGAAGCTGTATCACTGTCCTTACTGCTGTCAAGTAGGTTTGAACTCACAGTGACCCACCATGGAGTCTGTGGATCACAACAGGAGTCCTAAGAAGCCACTGCTGGACTCCTGCACACAGATGGGCAGCCTTCACTTCAGCAGAGCAGCTCACTACTGATTATGCCACTGGAGCACCTACACAGATGCTTCTTGTTGTTGTTGTTGTTGTTAAGTGCTGAAAAATCAAGTACAACCCTAGTGACCCAATAAACAGCTGACCTGAATTCTGCCCTGTCCTGTGCCAACCTCATCATCCCTGACACACTTTATCCCCTTGCTGACGTCATCGTGTCAATCCATCTCCTTGGATGGGGATGGATTGAGAGTCTTCCTCTTCTTTGCTGACCCTCCATATTTCCAAGCATGATGTCCCTCCCTCTTCAAGGAACAGCCTCACCTACCTACATGCCCAAAGTATGTGGGACAAAGCTATGTCGTCTCCAGAGTCCTCCAAGGAACACTATGGCTGCACTTTCTCCAACACATATCTGTTTGTTCTTTTGGCAATATATGAGATACGCAGTACTCTTTTCCAGCACCACAACTCAAAAGCATCAGTTCCTCTGTCATCCTTATTCATTGTCCAGCTCTCTGATGCATAGCAGGCAATTGAGAAGACCATATCCTGAGTCAAATGCACCTTAGTCTTCATTATTCTCCAGCATTTTGGAGAAATCCCTGACAGCAGACTACAAGTCTGCAAAACATCCTATTTCTTGACTGCTGGTCCCAAAAGTGTTGATTATTGATCCAAGAAAGATTAAATCATTGACAGCTTCATTCCTTTCTCCATCTATTATAATGCTGATTGTTGGTCCTGTGGTGAGGACCTTTGTTTTCTCTATGTTGAAATGTAATCCATACTGAAGTCTACGTCCTTGATCTTCTGCAGCAAGTGTTTCATATCCTCCTCAATCTCAGCAAGCTGAGTTGTGTCATCTGTGTAATGCAGGTTGCTGATTGAAGAAAGCAACCTTAGGTTGCAGGATCTTCTGATCCTGATGCTACATTCTTCTTCATAGAGTCCAGCTTTGCAAATTATTTGCTCAACATACAGATCAAAGGGAGCTCTGGTGGCCTAGAGGCAAGAAGCCGCACTGCAATCCCTAAGGCATGCAGTTTGAGGTCACTAGCTGCTCTGCAGGAGAAGGATGGGCAGTCTCCTCCCATGTGATTAACTGCATCTGAAAGCCCACGGAGGGTCATCTATGGGTCAGTTCTGACTCTATGGTACAAAACAACAACAACATACAGATTGAAAAGGTTTGGAGGTAAGATACACCCCGAAACACACCTTTCCTGATTTTAAACCACTGTTCCCTTGCTCAGCTCAAACAACAGCTTCTAGGTATGGATTTCACATTAGCAATTATACTTGGACCAGGAGGCAGTTGTCAGAACAGAACAAGGAAACACTGCACGGTTCAAAATTGGGAAGGGTGTATGCCAGGAGTGTGTCTTATCTCCATACATTTTAAGTCTATATGCAGAACAGATCATCCAGGAGACTGTGGCATCAGGATTGGAGGTAGACTCATCAACAATCTGTGTTATGCAGATGACACAACCCTGCTTGCTGAAACTGAGGAGGACCTGAAGTACTTGCTGCAGAGGGTCAAGGACTGCAGCCTTCAATATGGATTGAAGCTTAACATCAAGAAAACAAAAGAGGCAAGAATTCTGAAGTTTCATCTGACATACTTTGGACATGTTGCAAGGAGGTACCAGTCCTTGGAAAGGGACATAATATTGGGAAGGTGGATGGACAGCACAAGAGGGGAAGACCCTTAATGAGATAGATTGACTCAGTGACTGGGGTAATGGAGGTAGGTGTATCAGAGACAATAAAGTTGGTACAGGATACAGCATAGAGCTGTTGTACATAGGGTTGCTATGAGTTTCAAGCGACTTGACAGTACAGAACAACAACAGTTAGGTGTTCTGGATTCCTGTGATCACAGCCACTTAGAAACCAGCAGATGGAAGACCAAAGTTTGCCAGATTTGTCTCCTAGGTTAAGCACTGGAACAAACAAAAGGCTGGGGTTCCAATCCACCAGCCCTTGTGTGAGAGAAAGATGTGAGTTTGCTCACATAAAGATTGCAACCATAAAATCCTATGGTCATTATGAGTCAGAATTGATTCAGTCAGTGACAGTGGGATGGGCTTGCGGGGTGGGCCTTCCAGTGTAAGACCTTCCATACTCCACGAAACCATGGAGGCCCAACTGTGGCCTCATAGTGATTTATTTGGGAATCTCACATTCTCTATAAAATAAAGGATCCTTCAGTGACCCTTCAGTGATCCTTCAGTTTGTAGGGTTGAGTGAGTTGTAGCTGCCTTGACAGCATCTAACAACAACAGGGAGCTCTGGTGACCTAACGGTGATCTAACACCTAAGCTGTGCTGCAAACCCAAAGGTACACAGCTCGAATTGACCAGCTGCTCTGTGGGAGGATGGACAGTCTTCTGCTCGGTGATTAATTCTTCTGAAAACCTGCTGGAAGGTCAGCTATGAGTTGGTTCAGACTCAACATCACACAACAATTAACAACAACAGGCCCTCCTCATCATATATTTATGTTAGCCTTTTTTTTTTTACCCTACTTTTCCCTATCAGTGATACTAGCCATAGAATGCTCCACAATTATCAGTTATTTTACAAGTACCTGTGTGCAATATCTCTGATCTTCCTTTTGAGCCTACAATGTTGTTGTTGTTGTTGTTGTGACCCTTTGTACATTAGCTCCGAGCTCTGTCCTATCCTGAGCCAATCTCCTCATCTCCAGCAGTCCTAATGCCATTTCTCCAGTCATTGAGCCAGTCTGTTTTATAGTGGGTCTTCTTCTCCTACGCTGTCCCTCCACCCTTCCAAGCATGATGTTCATCTCCAAGGACTGGTCCCTCATGGCCATATGCCAATAATAGCTCTTGAATAATTGCTGCAGCAGGCCCTCCCCAAGAAGCACATCTTTAAATGATATTCTCTCTTTGACCTCTCTTCTCTCTGTCTACTCTTTGACACACTCATTCAGTCTCCACTCCAGCCTTTGAGCTTCATGTTTCTCATCTACCTCAACTAGAGATTTTTATTCTTGAGAGTTGCTTTAACTTGATATCTTTTCTTTAGATGAAAGTGATGGGAAGACGAATATGTAAAATAGGAATTTGGAGATGTTCTGACAAAAGCATGGACCCCTTGGTACTATGGTGACTATACTGAAAAAAGTCAGCAATTCAAAGGTTGCTCAACACCACCTTTGAAAAGCTCATGCTTTGGTGCAACCACTGTGGAAGGCGGTTTGGCGCTTTCTCAAAAAGTTGCAAATAGATATACCATATGACCCAGCAATTCCACTACTGAGAATATACCCCAAAGAGACCATCACTGCCACCCAAGCAGATATATGCACACCCATGTTTATCTCAGCTTTGTTCATAATAGCAAGGAGTTGGAAACAACCTACGTGCTCATCAACAAACAAATGAATAGAGAAGCTGTGGTACATGCACACAAAGGAATACTATGCTGCATTGAAAAACAAGGAACTCATGCAGTAGTATTCAAAATGAGTGACCCTGGAGGACATTATGCTGAGTGAAATATCTCAGTCACAAAAGGACAAATACTGCATAGTGCCACTGTTGTAAAACAGGACTGACACCTGGGTTGGGGGAAGACTGAGAAAGATGGATTCAATAATGTATACTGCATTGAAACAGATGAGGGAGAAAACTGTTTAAAAGGGATATGTGATTAGCTATTTTTGTCATGACAGGAGTCCAGAGTGAAGGCTGCATAGTGGAGTGGACCTGGGTGGAGGTTTTATAAAACAATGAAAGAATTTTTCTTTTACTTTTCCAAGAGGGTAGTGTACTATGGGGGAGGGTTGGGAGGGAAGAAAAGTGCAACAATGAACGAATGGAAATCCAAAGTGTCTGTAAACTTTCACTGAAATGAATAATAATTTAAAAAAAAAATAAGCTCAGGCTTTCACCATGATCAGAATCTCCTGAGCTCAGGATGCAATTATAAGGCCTTATCCGTTAACTGATTTCTGTTAGCCTGGCCCATGGGCAGATCAGAGTAGCCAGCTAGAAAAAAGACTTCGTGTCTTAGTTTAAGCCCATAGTATCATGACCATTGACACTGAGGCCTGTGGAAGGGAGCATGGATTTGACCAACATCCTGGAGTTAGACCATAGGTTTCTTGATGGGGCTTTTCACTGTATATGGGGAGTATAAACATTGCAGGGAAAAGGACTTTCTCTTGTTCGAGCTTGGTTTCCTTGTTATAAATTTTAGTATGCTCCATAAAGACCTCTCAGGCTCTTCTCTAGCATGCAGTTGGCATCATGTGCCACCAAGAACAACCCTACTCTCAACTGACCTAATGTCTCTTTTCCAGTTGCACATCACTGAAGTGGGACAGCCTGCATCAGGGAACCGACCTTTTGTCAAGAAAGCTGTGGATGTGTTTTTCCCTCCCAAAGCACTGACTGATTTCCCAGTGGCGATGCAGGTAGGGATGTGCTGCTCTCTGCAGGATTTGGATTAAATTGTGGATCTCAAGTAGTTAAGCCACACAAGTGCCATGTATTCAGTGGCTCCTTGCTCCTTTGTGATGTGGAATTAATTTTCAGAAAGCAAGTTGGCCTCTGTTCTTGACTGTTTTGAGCTAGACCACGCCCGAGGCCCATGAGGAAGGCTGACCTAGAAGGATCTACTGGGGGCCTTGTGTGGCCCAAGCCTCAGAATGCACCACATAATCTATCCACGTGGAGAGCCCAGTAAGGGTCCTGGACAACAAAAGCTGAGGTGGTTAGGTGCTGTTGGATCAATTATGACTCAGGCAGAGATCTGAACCTTGCCCTGTCCTGTGCCATCCTCACCATTTCTGATAGCCCCTCCCCTGCTATTACAGTCACTGTTTCAGACCGTCTTGTTGAGGGTCTTCTTCTCTTTCTTGGACCCTTCACCTTTCTCAGCATTGCTTTGATTTTCATCTCTGTAATAGCTAATAGTCTCAAGCATTTCTTAATGGATTTGCTGGCCTTCTCAATATTTTCTAGGCAGGAGTGTCTTTTCATGTCCTGTGCTTATTTTCTAATTGCATTTGGCTATTTGTTCTTGAAGTGTTGCAGTTTCTATATGTTTTCAAGATTAGACCCATGTTTGGATATGATATTGCCAAAATATTTTTCCCAGTGAGTAGGTCTTTTTTTTTAAGAAATTTTTGGATGCACATAACAATCTAACTTTTAGAAAGTTCTTCCAATCTAGTTTCTCTTCAGCTGTTTGTACATTTTAGGTTATCATCAATGGTCTATGCATTTCATAGTTTGCCCTTATTTTCCTATGATTTTAATAGTTTTAGGTTTTACATTTAGGCCTTTGATTAATCTTGAGTTGGGTGTTTTATAAAATATGAAGAGTAAATATATAGTTCATTTTTCTGCAAATCATTAACTGGGTTGGTTTTTATACCTTTTTATATTGTGATTTTAATCAAAGTTTACAGAAAAGCTGGATTTCCATTCATCCATTGTTGCACATTTTCCTCCCTCTCCTTCTCTTCCTCCTCCCCCAGTCCACTTTGCAATGCACCTCTTATTCTGGACTGTTGTCATACATTTAATGCCTAATCATAAATTCCTTTTAAGATAGTCCTTTTCCTCATGTGTTCCAAAGTAATGTTCATAATCTATCGACTCTTTTCCTCGTTTTCCCCAACCTCTCATGTCAGCCCTGCTTTATAACAGTGGTGTTATGCAGTATTTGTCCTTTTGTTACTGGGATATTTCACTCGGCATAATGTCCTCCAGGGTCACTCATATTGTTTAATGTTTTATAAGTTTATTGTTTTCAGCGCTGTTTTGAATTCCATTGTGTGAGTATACTATTATATCATCTACATATAGAGATAATTTTACCTCCTCTTTGCAAATTTGGATGCCATTAATGTCTTTCTTTTGCAATACAATACAACTTTGTATTGACTTCCAGTACAATACTGAATAGGAGAGGTGATCAGGTATCCTTGACTACTAGTTCCTGTTTTTCAGTCTCTCTCCAATGAAAGTGATGTTGGCTCTTGGTTTTGCATATTTACTTTTCACCATGTTGGGGAAATTAGTCTCCAGAGAGACACCACTGCTCTTCAGCACTTTGGAGAGGTCCCTAACAGCAGACTTTCCCATGGCAATGCGCCTTTTAATTTCCTGGCTGCTGGTGCCAAGACTGTTGACTAAAGCTGTGCACAATCTCAATCTCTTCACCATCCATCCTGATGCTGCCGATTGGTCCAGTGGTGAGAATCTTTGTCTTCTTGACATTGAGCCTCAATCCATATTGTAGGCTGCAGTCCCTTACACTCTGCAGCAGGCGCTTCAGGTCCTCCTCAGTTTCAGCAAGCAGGGTTGTGTCATCCACATAACGCAGATTGTTGATAAATCGTCCACCAATCCTGACCCCACATTTCTCCTCATAGAGCCCAGCCTCCCAGATAATCTGTTCTGCATATAGGTTGAAAAGGTATGGAGATAGGATGCATCCCTGGCGTACGCCCTTCCCAATTTTGAACCATGCAGTGTTCCCTTGCTCTGTTCTGATGACTGCCTCCTGGTCCAAGTATAAGTTTCGCATTAGAACGATCAAGTGTTCTGGGATTCCCATTCTTCTCAGAGTCAGCCACAGTTTGTTATGATCTACACAGTCAAATGCCTTTGCATAGTCAATGAAACACAGATAGACATTCCTCTGGTATTCCCTGCTTTCAGCCAAGATCCATCTAACATCAGCTACAATATCTCTAGTACAACGACCCCTTCTGAAACCAGCCTGGACGTCTGGTAGTTCTCTGTTGATGTGCTGTTCCAGTCGTTTTTGGATAATTTTCAGTAAAATCTTGCTTGCATGTGAAATCAGTGAAATTGTTCTGTAGTTTCCACATTCAGTTGCGTCACCTTTCCTTGGGATAGGAACAAATATCGATCTCTTCCAGTCAGTTGGCCAAGTGGTCGTTCTCCAGATTTCTTGGCACAACTTGGTGAACACGTCCAAGGCAGCATCTGTTAACTGAAATATATCAATTGGTATACCATCTGTTCCTGGAGCCTTATTTTTAGCCATGTCCTTCAAAGCAGCCTGAACTTCTTCCTTCATCACCATAGGCTATTGCTCATATGTTGTTTCATGAAATTCTTCTGTGTCTTCCAATTCCTTTCGATACAGTGACTCAGTATATTCCTTCCATCTTCTTTTAATACTTCCGGGATCATTTAATGTTCTGCCGAAAGCATCCTTGATTATAGCAACTCGAGGTTTGAATTTGTTCTTCAGTTCCTTGAGCTTAAGATATGCTGAGTGAGTTCAGCTCTTTTGATTTTCCGACTCCAACTCCTTGCACATTTCATTGTAATATTTTGCTTTGTCATCCCGTGCTGCCTTTTGAAATCTTCTATTCAACTCTTTAGTATCTTGAATTCTTCCCTGTGCTTTGGCTTCTCTGTGCTCCAGTGCAATTTTCAGAGTCTCTTCTGACATCCATTTTGGTCTTTTCTTCCTCTTCTGTCTTTGCAATGACCGTTTGCACTCTTCCTGGATGATACCCTTGATATCCTCCCACAACTCATCTGGCCTTTGTTCATTAGTGTTCAAAGCCTCAAATCTGTTCCTGAGATGGTTCTGAAATTCAGGTGGGATAGACTCAAGGTCATATTTTGGTTGCCTCGGATTTGGTTTAATTTTCCTCAGCTTTATCTTGAATTTTCATATGAGTAGTTGGTGGTCTGTTCCACAGTCAGCTCCTGGCCTAGTTTTCACAGCTGATATTGAGCTTCTCCGATTAAGTTGTGAAAAAAAAATGTATGAGGATCCAAGGCAGTAAAGGGTGGGAGCAGAAGGGTGAAGATGAGTAGGGATGAAATCAGAGGGTTGCACAATTTAGTGGGTGGAGGGAGTGAATCAAGGAAATGAGAAAGATCCAGAGGGAACCAGAAAAGACTGGGTGGGCATAGTCCAATGGTGATTTTTTTTTTTTTTACGAAGAGATTGTGTTTTAATTTGTGGGTTTCCCATTTGAGAATAGGGACACAGACTCTGTGGCTGCTTCAAGTTGAACAGGGCATTGAGATGAAGGGGAAGGGGAGCTCACTCTATAACTTTACTGATGGTCTTGAGTTGAAGCTGCATGCTTTCTTGTTCAGTTAGAAAATATTTTCAAAATGTTTTCTTGCCCTCTGGACTGCCAGGTATTTGCATGAATGAGTCCAATAGGAGTGGCTGGCTGAACTTCGACGTTCCATCTACCTTCGCTTCCTTAGCTGATGTTTATAATTCCCTTTTGTCTCTGGAACTGGGCTCAGGTTCAAGTTCTGGAACAAGACTCAGTGTTCAGGTTACCTATAGGAAAGGGAACGAACCTAGAGAGAGCAAATTTGTGAGCTACAAAGAGAAGGGCTTTGGAAGTGTTACTTAAAGGTGTACTGGAAGAGAAGACGGAGGAAAGTGGTTTAGATAAAGTTTCTTATACACACTAAGTGGCTCTTCCCAGGGGAATTTTTTCTTTCTTCTGTTACCCACTCATGTTCAAGCAGAGTTTTGCTCGACTTCCAAGTGTATGGGGGTTTTCTCCCTTATCCTCTTGTTGATTTATAATTTTGTAGCACTGCGGTCTGAGAAAATACTTAGTATTATTTCCATGGTTTTTTTATTTATTGAGGCTTCCTTTTTAACTTAAAATATGATTTATTCTGGAGAATATTCTATGCAAGTTAGAGAAGAATGTATGCTGAGCTTTTTTGGAGTGCATTAGCCCTTCTGTCTGTCTGTCTGTCTATCTGGTGAAGTTACTTGATTGTATGATTTAATTCTTCAGCATCTTTTTTCGTTTCTTTCTGATAGTTCTATTTTTTTTTCTTGAGGGTGGTATATTGAAGCCTCCTACTGCTATAGTAGTTTTGTTTCTTTCTTTTTTCAGTTCTGTTAATATTAGCTGTGTGTATTTTGCATCTTTACCATTTGGTGCATAGATATTTATTATGCTTATGTCATCTTGTTCTATTGACCCATTAAGCATTATATAGTGACCTTCCTTGTCCTTTGTGACGGTTTTTACATGGAAATCTATTTTATAAGAGGTTAATATCTCTACTCTTGCCTTTTTCTGATTGCCATTTGCTTGGTATATTTTTTTCCCACCCTTCTATTTTTTGTCTTTCTTTACCTTCACTTTTCTGGTGTGTCTCTTATAGACAGCATATTGATGGATTTTGGTGTTCCATCTAATGTGCTACTCTTTTTTTTTTTTTCTTTCTTCACTGGTGAATTTAAACCTTTCACAGTCAGTGTAATTTTTTAAAAGCAAAGTTTTATTGTTATTTTGTTGAGGTTTGGTTTTGTTGGGGTTTTTTTTAGTGTTGTTGCTGGCTATTTTGATCCATCCTACCTTCTGTGGCACCTCTGTTAAGAAGGTATTTTCTCAGTATTTTCTGTAACACTGGTCTTATTTTTACAAACTCCCTCAATTTCTGCTTTTCTGAGAATATCTTGGTCTCTCCATCATACTTGATGGTCAGTTTTGATGGGTGTAGTATTCTTGGTTGCTAGTTGTGTTCTTTGAGTGTTTGATATATGTCATTCCACTGTCTTCTTGCTCCCATGGTTTCTACTGAGAAACTGACGCTTAATCTATTTGCTCTGCTTTATAGGTTGTTGTGGCTGTTGTTATTGTTGTTAAGTGCCATCGAGTTGTAGATGACTCATAGTGGCCATATGAAAGAAAGACTTGAATATGAATATGAGTAGGAATAGGAATAGGAATGAAAGACACTTGTATAACTTTCAACATTTCTCCAAGTTCATAGAGTTTCCGGAGCAAGCTATTACGGAAGTGGATGCCACTGCTCCTTCCAAGCTTGTTTTAATCGTGGAGCTTCATGAAACACTGTCTACCACTGGTAGCCATTATCACATTTGACACATCAGTGTCACAGTGTTTAGCATCACAGCAACCACGAGTTACCTCTATACAGCAAATGAACAGACCAGAGCTATACCCCTTAGAAGAATGTTTGACCAAAAACATTTTAAACCAAGCCTGAGAGCTGAAGATTAATATCATCCACCTTTGGCTTAGTAGCATAACTTTCTATCCACAAGGCCCACAGAGCTCTTTCGTTGTTGTTGTTTTTGTTGTTCTTAAGTGCCATCTAGTCGTAGATGACTCATAGCAACCCTATGAACAAAAGACCTAAACACTTGTATAACTTTCATCATTTCTCCAAGTTTATAGAGTTTCCAGAGGCAAGCTACTGTGGAAGTGATGTCACTCCTGCTTCCAAGCTTGTTTTAATAGGGGAGCTGCACCAAACACTGTCCACTATGGGTGACCATTATCACATTTGACACATCAGTGTCACAGTGTTACTCTTTGTTTTTTCCTAGCTGCTTTCAAAAGTCTCTCCTTATCTTTGGTTCTGGCAAATTTGACTATGATATACCTTGGTGTTTTATTTTGGGGTCCATTCTATATGGGATTTGCTAAGCTTTTTGTATACATATAGTCTTTAATTCTTCCTTATACCTAGAAAATATTCTTCAAGTAACTCTTCCATAACTTTCCTCGTGTCTTCTTCTTCTCCTCCTCCTCCTCCTCCTCCTCTGCTGTTTCCTCCTTCTCTACCTCCTCCTCTGCCTCCTCCTCCATCTCCTCCTCCTCCCAGTGAAGAAGCAAATACCCTTTCTAGAATTCCAAGTATGTGCATGTAATTGCTCTTGATGGTTGTCCTACATTATTCCTAGGCTTTCTTCCTTTTCCTTCATTTTTGGTTCTGCTTTTTGTTCTAGCAGATAAATGTTGAAAACTCTACCTTCTGTTTTGCTGGTTCTGTGTTCTATCTCTTCAACTCTGCTCTTATGTCTCTCCAACATGTTGACAGCTTCTAAGACACTCATCCTCATATTTTGGATTACAGTTTCTTATTTCTCCAGAGTTCTATTGCCTCATTTGTTTTATCTGCATTGTCTTGGATATTACTTTAAGTTCCTCTTGGCTTTTGTTTGTAGAATTCTATAATTCTTCAAGTTTATCTTACACCCATTGAAAATATTCAATCATTGTTCTTTTGAATTCTGTATCAGAAAGTTCCATCAGACTTTCCAGCCTTCAGGAAATCCATTGAATCTGTGTTTTGATCACTTTTTTTTGGGTGACATCTTGTTTTGGGTTTTGTGGGGGGTATAAGGTAGTCTGCTTCTTCTGAGTCATTGCTGAACTAGAATTTTTCTTGCCTGGGGCCCTAGCAGGATCATAATGTGATGACCTTCTCTCTGATCCCTGGGTTCAAGGGAAGACTTGTTTCAGTTGGGGAGTTGAATGTATTAGTAGGGAAGGGAGGGCAACTCACTATGCCTGTAGTTCTTCCTCTCGGATTCTATAGCAAAATTACCTGGGACTCGAGGCCCAGCTGCTTCTATTCCTTTCTCTCTGGTCCCACAGCTAAGTTCTCTGGGGTGAAGGGCTTGTTATTTTCTGATTGCAGCCCTCTCTCCTGAAGTCTGTTGTCCTCCTTGGTCTGTGGAGTGGTGCAACCAGTCCCCTTGACTCTCTTCACCACTCTCTCTGACAGTTCAGGCAGAAGGACCTTGCCTCTGACCATCTACTCCAGGACTATACTCCTGTAGCTGCTGATTGCTAGAGCCTTCAAGTTAGAGTGCTCAGCTAGCACAGCAGGATGATGTCCCAGCAAAGCAATGGATCCTGAATGTTGGTGATCTACCCCCCTTGGTCTGAGGGCCATAGGCCCTCAATCCCACACAAAGTGGAGTCGAAAGGGTCCACTCCATATCTCCTGACTGAAGGCAGGGCTGGGAGTGGCGGTCAGAGGGGTGGTCAGGAATCAAAGGCAATGTCAGCTGTTCAAGATGGTATCTGAAGTAGCTGTCTTCTAGGCCAGCCAATGCCTGTAGTGAAGCAGGGTCCAAAAGGGTCCACTTTGCATCTTCTGGTTGTAGGTGTGGCTGTGGGGGGCAGAGGAGTGGTCAGGAATCAAAGATCGAGTCACATGTTCAAGATGGTGTCTGAATTAGCTGCTATGTAAGTCAGCCAGTGGCCACCTTGAAGCAAGGTCCAGAAGAGTCTCCTCCACATCTGCTGGCTCTCAAGAACTGTTTTTATCAAGATCATGTTAAAGAAACTGTATCTTTCCCATTTAATGTATTGTAACCTATTGCTGTTGATATATTTTAACTATCTATCAATGACCAAGGAGGATAGAAGGAGAATTGATGCTTTTGAGCTTTGGTGTTGGAGAAGAGTGCTAAAGGTGCCATGGATTGCTAAGAGAACAAACAGATTCATCCTGGAGAGGGTTAAACTGGGCTGCTCCTTGGAGGCAAGGATTCTGAAGCTTCATCTGACATACTTTGGTCATGTTGTAAGGAGAGACTGGTCCTTGGAGAGGAACATCATGCTTGGGAGGGTGGAGGGCAGGCGCAGGAGTGGAAAGCCCCCTGGGAGATGGATTGACTCGGTGACTGGGGCAATCGGGATGAGTGTGTCGGAGGCAGTGAGATTGGCACCGGACAGAACAGAGTTTAGAACTGTTGTACATAGGGTCGCTATGAGTCGCAGGTGACTCGACGGAACATAACAACAACATCAGCGATGTTGTTGTCGTCATTGTTCAGTGCCATCAAGCCAATTATAACCCAAAGCGACCTTATGAACAATAGATCTGAATCCTGTCCAATCCTGTTCCATCCTCATACTTCCTAACACATTAGAGCCCATTTTGGTAGTCACTGTGTCAATCTACCCAAGTGAGGGTCTTTCTCTCCTTCTGCCTTTCGGAGCATCAGAAAGTGAAAGAGAGAAAGATGTTCCAACCAGATATATTGATCCATCTATGGGCACAAGTGTATCAGAGATGATGTGGATGGGACAGGCTAGGACTGGGTTCAAGTCTGTTGTTCATAGGGTCACTATGAGTGGTTCTTGATTTGATAGCACCTAACAACAATAAAAGGTCTTTTACCCTATTTGGCTTTTCCTTAATTTTCCAACCTTTGTTCTCTATCTCTTTACAGGTTGGAGCTAAGCATGGTATTATATACTTGATCACCAAGTTTGGCTACCTTCATGTCTATGACATAGAATCTGGTGTGTTCATCTACACGAACCGTATTAGTGCTGACACAATCTTTGTAACTGCTCCTCATGAACTTACCTCTGGAATCATTAGTGTCAACAAAACAGGAGAGGTAGGTAACATTGAGGCTTGCTTCCTACATTTTTTTCATTTCCTAGGAAGTTTTGCTTAAACTATGCTTCTCTAGGAAAGTTAGGAGGTATAGTTAGTGCCCGTTATCAAACTTTCACCCCTGTCCCACTTGTTCTTTATACCTTCACATTCCCTTTTCAAATAGAACCCTCTCACCATGATGTTAATTCTGAAGAAGAAGTCCCCTTCTTACATAAAGCTCCCACGGCAAAGTTGTTGTTGTTGCTAGGTGTTAGCAAGTCAAGTACAAACAAAAAGAATATTAATGAAGATATGAACCTAGTCCTGTCCTGTGCCATCCTCATACTTCCTGACACACAAGAGCCCTTTGCAACCATCACTGTGTCAGTCCACTTGGTTGAGGGTCTTCCTCTCCTTTGCCAATCCTCCACCCTTCCCAGCATCATGTCCCTCTCTAAGGAATAGTACCTCCTAGCAATATGTCCAAAGTATATGAGGTGATGCCTCATCATTCTTGCCTCCAAAGGGCACTCCAGCTGCACCCTCTCCAAGACATACCTGTTCATTCTCTTGGCAGTTCATGGGATGGTCAGTTTTCTTCTCCAACTCCACAGTTCAAAGGCATCAATTCTTTTTTCTGTCATCCTTATTCAATGTCCAGCTTTCAGATGCATAGCTAGTAACTGGAAAGACTATGGCCTGAATAAGAGACACCTTAGTCCTCAAACTGACATCATTACTTCTCAATAATTTGGAAAAGTCCCTAACTGCAGATTTTCCCAGTGCACTGTGTCTCCTTATTTCCTGACTGCTCATACCAAGGGTTGTAAAACACAAGGTTTTTTTTAAAAATTATGTTTTTATTATACTAGTTCATCTACAAAATTCTAATACATTGTTTTCCAGAACAGATTCTTCCAATTTCCCTCATACCCCCCAATCAAATTGTACAACCCCATGATTGATGCCCCCTCCCCTGCACATCCTCATCCTTCAGCTTCCACCCCCTCCTCCTCCCCCTATCTTTATACTCATTCTACAATAATGGTTTTACATAATATTTGTCCTTGTGGAACTGAGTTAGTTCACTCATCATAATACTCCCCGATCCCTCCAAAGTTAGGTAATAATTTACAAAATCATTGCTCCTGCATGCTGCATAGAATTCCGTTGTGTGAATGTACCATAATTTCTCAATCCATTCGTTTGTGGTTGGACATCAGAGCTGTTTCCATGTTCTTGCAATGGTGAATAATGATGCTATGAACATTGGTGTACAAGTTTCTGTTTATGCCTCAGTTCTCGTTTTTCAGGGTATATTCCAAGCAGTGGAATAGCTGGGACATATTGAATTTCTATGTTCAGAAAATACCAGTTTTTATATTTTATTTCCATCTTCGTGCCATATTTATCTTGCATTCATATACAATTCATATGCATTGTGTTTTGTACATGTACTTTTACAATCATTTATATATGTTAAATTTTATATCATTAATTGACATTGATCTATGCCTATTATCACCCTATTTTTCCAAGTTCCCATTCACACCACCACCACCTACCAGCCTCTGCTATCCTAATGATTTTCCTCCTTTCCCTACTTCTGCCCCCCCCTTCACTCCTACTTAAATTTTTTAGAACACTAATTTGCTTCATTGTTATTCCATATACTTGACTCTGGTCTGTGTCTATAAACATTCTCACTTTATATTGTAACAGTTTGGATTTATTTATAATAATGTAGACTCCTGTGCTGTAACTACACTCTCCCTTCACCCTGTCCTGTAGGTATTCAGCTCCTGTGCATCTTTTCAGTGTCAGTACCATAGGACACTGAATGTGACCCCCTGCTCAAGAGTCCTGACAGTCCTAGGTGAAATTTGGCAGTGCATTCTGTAGAGAATTTTCCTAGACCAAACTCGTTTTACTTGTTACATTCTTACAGGTGCTGTCAGTCTGCATTGATGAAGATAATATTATGAATTACATAATCAATGTTCTTCAGAACCCAGATCTTGGGCTGCGTTTGGCCACTCGTGGTAACCTGGCTGGGGCTGAGGAGCTGTTTGCCAGAAAATTCAGTACCCTTTTTGAGCAGGGAAGCTATGCTGAAGCTGCCAAAGTGGCAGTACTGGCACCAAAGGTAATGACTTTGGAATACTGAAGTTAAAGAACCAATTTTGGGAGAAGGCAAATGACAAAAGTATTTCACTATGGGTGGTAAATTGTGTTAGTGTTCTGTTACTTTTTCCACAGCTGTAATAATTTGTACCAATAGCATACAATGATGAAAACAAAAACATGCATAATCCTGTTGCACTAATAACATCTTGTCTGTGTGGAAGCATCTTCACACCCAATATCTTAGGTGAAGTACAACTTTACATTTTGGTAACTTGGTATTTCACGTAGTTGCTATGAAGCTGTCAAATAGGTAACTATTCTCTGGGCATGTTGCCGGGCAGACTACTCCTTGAAGAATGATGTCTTGCTTGGAAGGGTAGAGGGTCAGTTCAGGAGAGGAAGACTCTGGATGGGATGAGATGAGATTGACACTATGACTGGCAATGGGGTCAGGTGTGTCAGAGAAGATGAGGCTGGCTCAGGACAGGACCAGGTTCAGAGCCATTGTTCACAGGATCACTACGAGTCGCAGTCAACTTGATGGCACATAACATCCATATTATCAATTGTTCTGCCTCATTTTATTTAGTCATATTCCTATTTTGTTCTTTTTCTGTTCTTCAAGAATGTTAAATATTATGCTCACTTCAGCAATACATATACTAAAATTGGAATGATACAGAGTAGATTGGCATGGCCTTTGCACAAGGATGACACACAAATTTGTGAAGTGTTCCATTTTTTTATAAAAAAAGAGTGTATAATATTTCTTTTAGCATTTATTTCCTTTATTTCACTAGAGTAAGTCATCCTGGAACTAGATTTCCCACTGAATAAAAATTTTGACATGCTTTTCCTTTAAAGACTTGTTCTATCATTTAAGTGATAGGAACAAAGCCCTTATAGTCTTTTTCTGGGTTTTGGGGTATTTTGAATTAGAATGCAATGATGGTATCATTTATTTAATTCCAGTGTAAAAGTCTATCCTTACACCAGTATACTAGGGAGTAAATAAAATGCTGACTGTTAAATCCTTTGCAGAAGCTTCATTAACTGTATAACTATGTGATGATTGTTAGCAATTCAGAAACAGTTGCCTTCCTGGACAAATGTTGGTCTCTGAAAAATCAGTGTCTAATATCTATTGGCAGATTGTTTTCTTATACCAGCAGGTTAGATGAAGAATGCCTGCGTCTATCACACAGTGACCCAAATTTCCATTTATCAGGGAATCCTGCGTACCAGTGACACATTGCTCAAGTTCCAGAGTATTCCTGCTCAGCCTGGTCAAGCTTCTCCTTTGCTCCAGTACTTTGGAATCCTGCTTGATCATGGTCAACTTAACAAATTCGAATCCCTAGAACTCTGCCGCCTAGTTCTACAGCAGGGACGCAACCAACTCTTAGAGAAGTGGCTGAAAGAAGAGAAGGTACAAACTTGTAAAATCACAGCCCCTGTAACAGCTCTCCACAGCTTAAAACATAGGTCACTTATTTCTATATTGTTCATTTTGCCCGGTCCCACTGATGTGCCACAGCTGGAGTGTTCAGAAGAGCTTGGAGATTTAGTCAAAACTGCTGACTCTACACTTGCGTTGAGTGTGTACCTTCGGGCAAATGTTCCAAGCAAAGTTAACCAGTGCTTTGCAGAAACAGGGCAATTCCAGAAAATTGTACTCTATGCCAAAAAGGTAATGCATGCTTCACGTGAGCATTTCACAAATAACTAATTTGTAATTGAACAAGTGCTGATTTTGACATTTCTAGAACATCCATGATGTTATATTATAAAAGTATTCTGGTGCAACAGTGAGAGAGTGTTGCTATTGGAATCGATCATGAATAATAGTCATGTTTTAATCTTTTCAGTTACTTATTGCTTGAATCTGTTTTAAAACCCTCCTATTTCTTTCCAATCAGGAGCTGTCCTGAAAATGTTATCTTTTGTCTCTCTTCTTTCCATACCTCCCAGCCCCTTCTGGGTCCTAATTCAAAACTTTAGAGCACTTATCCCCACATGCTCACTGACAGGCTGTGTGTGCTGAGTTTGAGGTCAGAATTTGCACACCGATAACAGTAACTGTCTGCACCAAACACTGCTTAAGTATTCATTTGCACTTTTATATACATGAAGGCGATATCGTCTGGGACTTCTTGATTTGGTAGAAGACTGGGGTGTAAGCACGCTAAGATTTTATTCATTCCTTTGTAAATCTATGTCCTCAACAAAGGTTAGGGAACTTTCTTTTTTGTCAGTGCTGCAAGTTTTCCACTTATTTTCCTGATGGTGATCCTGGCTTCTAGGTTGGGAGTACCCCTGACTGGATCTTTTTGCTGAGGAGAGTAATGAGGATTGATCCAGACCGAGGCCTGCAGTTTTCTCAAATGCTAGTGCAGGGCGAGGAGCCACTGGCCGACATTAACCAGGTGAGCACAGATCCTCTGGGGAACATTCTGTGGCTTTTCATAGACACCAATAAGATTCCTTTTATGGGGGATGGAGGGAAGTCATTGCTTGCAGAGTACATTCTTTCCATTTATGGTGATTAAGAAAATAGCATTAATGGAAAGGATACAACAATGGAGCTTGGATGTGTTTCTTCAGCACTGCCCACTTAGCACATGGAGATGTGTGGATGAGCAGGGAGGGCTTGTTGGCTTGAGGAACAGGGAGTCAGGAGGACCCCTGGCTGGTTGATTTGACTTGGCCCCATGTGGAGGCTAAGGCTAAGTGAGGAGACCAAAGGTCTGGAACTCATAGGTCTGGACTCTTAAGTTTGCAGCTGATGTCCATTTGAACCTCATCACAGATGGTTGGGATGAGTTGACCAGAACCCCATCAAATGAAGACAAGATGGTTCATGCTGTGAGCTAGGTCAATTATTGCGATCTGATGGCTTATTTTGGAATGGACATTGCTTGTGGATGTAAATGCTCAAAGTTTCCAAGTTGAACAGACATCCTTCGGCAAAGGGGGCATGTTTGTACCCATAGAGTACTAATTTGATAGGGATGGGCAAATCAGAAATTAAGTGTCTAAAAGGGGAATATTAGGGCATGAGGCATGAAGTGGTTAGCTTACATGCTTTTATGAAAGTAGTTGTTATTGGGATGATTGTAAGGGGAGGAAAAATCTACAATATAAATGGAAGACTGGAACATAATGTACATGAATGAAACATAATTCATACGAATGATAAAAATATTTTAAAATTAAAACTATAATGATGTTAAGTGGGAGGTTACAAACCTCCCAATGGAGGTCATTAATTTGGACATTTGTATAAAGATGAACTAGCAAGAGTTATATGGTAGGCATACTTACAACAACAGTAAAAGAGTAGCTGCTATAGTTGCTTTATGTACAAATAAGCACTTCATGAGATTAGATTCCTTGCTTTGGAGGCTTAAGGTTATGGTTTCATAGGCCATGCCCCTTAATTTGCCTGTTGTTGTTATGTGACATCAAGTCACCTGCAAGTCATAGCAACCCTATGTACAACAGGTCTGAACCCTGCTCTATCTTGAGATAATTTCATTATCTTTGATATAACTGGCCCCCATTTCCACAGTCACTGAGTCAATCCCTCTCATCCAGGGTTTTCTTTTTCTTTTCCACTGTCCCTCCACCCTTGCAAGCATGATGTCCCCCTCCAAGGACTGGTCCTCCTGGCAACATGCCCAAAGTATGTCAGACAAAGCTTCAGTATCCTTTCCTCCAAGGAACAGCTTGGTTTCACTCTCTCTAGGCTGAACCTGTTTGTTCTTTTAGCAGTCCATGGTATATTCAATACTCTTCTGTAGCACCACAACTCAAAGGCATCTATTCTTTTTCTACTATCCTTAGTTATTGTTCAGCTCTCTGTTGCATAGAAAGTAATTGTGAAGACTGTGGCCTGGATCAGGTGCACCTCAGTGTCTACACTGATATCATTGCTTTTCAGTACTATGGAGAGGTCCCTGAAGTAGATTTTCCCTATGTAATTCATCTTTTGATTTCCTGGCTGCTGGTACTAAGAGCATTAATTGTGGAGCCAAGCAAACTAGATCTGTTAACAATCTCAATCTCTTCTCCATCTATCATGATGCTAACCAGTTAGCCCAATGACAAGATTCTTTGTTTTCCTGATAATGAGCTTAGGCTTCAATCCATATTTAAGTCTGCAGTCTTTGACCTCCTGCAGCATATGCCTCAGGTCCTCCTCAGTTTTGGCAAGCAAAGTTGTGTCATCTGCATAACTCAGGTTGTTGATGAATCTTCCACCAATCCTGATGCTACGTTCTTCCTCATAAAGTCAAGCTTCCTGGATGATCTGTTCCACACATAGATTGAAAAGGTATGGAGGTAGGATGTGTCCCTGACATACACCTTTCCTGATTTTAAACCATGTAGTATTTCCTTTCTCTTTGTTTAATGTTCATAGAGTTTTCAAAAGCCTTTTATTTAGAAAGTAGATGGCCCATCCTGCTTCCTAGTCTATCTTAATCAAGGAGCTCCACCAAAATCCGCTCACAATGGGAAACTCTTTTGGAATTTGACGCACCAGTGGAAAATGTTTCAGTATAACAGCAACCCCGTATAATTGCAATACGGCAAACTGACAGACATGTGCTACACCACTTAGAACAACATTCTCTCCAAACACAGTCAGATACAGTTAATCAGCTTACACTTGATTGCTAACACAATTAGAACACAGCTTTCAAGTAAATCACAAACACTTACCCACCAGGATCCAACTTCACCAAGCTGAATGGACTATTTTGTGTCAGGAAGTGTGAGGATGACACAGGACAGGACTAGATTCAAATCTTTTGTTCATAGAGTTGCTATGAGTCCTACTCAACTTGATGGCACTTAACAATAAGTGTTTTCTTGTTTCTGTTTTGGTGACTGCCTCCTGGTTTGAGTGTTGGTTTCGCATAACCACTATCATGTTCTGGGATTCCTGTTCTCAAAGTTAGCCACAGTTTGTTGTGATCCACACAGTTAAATAACTGCATAGTCAATGAAATACAGACATTCCTTTGTAATGTCTCACATACTTTGAGCATGTTTTAAGAGGAGCTATTCCTTGGAAAGGGACATTATGCTAAAAAGGAGGAGGGTCAGAGAAAGATAATAAGACTCCTCCAAGAAGATATATTTGACATGGTGACTGTAACAGTGGGCTATAGCGTATCAGAGATGTGCAGATGGCGCAGGATAGAGTAAGGGTGAGCACCGTTGGTCACAGGGTCACTATGAGTCTTAATTGACTCAATGGCACCACCTAATAATAACAACTCCAACACCACAATTCAAAGGCACCTATTCCTTCTTTTAAAAAAAATAATTTTTGTTTTATTTTTTGCTTGCTCACAAAGCTCATATACATTGTTTCACACTACCCTTCATTCATAGTACGTTTCATACACTCATTCTCATTCGTTATATTTTATAAAATTAATCAACATTGAACTAGGCCCACCATTATACTCTGTCTTCCCAGATCCCCACCAGATCGTTCCCATTTCTTTTATCCACCCTTCCCTCCACCTACCTTGAGTTGATTTTTTGTGTATGGTATGAAGAGTGGATCCTGCATCAGCTTTCTACAGGGAGTAGTCCAGTTCTGTCAGCACCATTTGTTTCTTCATCTTTAGGTTTTGTTTCATTGTTGAAAAAGGAATCTATTCTTCTTTCATCCTTACTCAGTGTCCAGCTTTCAGATGCAACCTTGGGTGCAGTGTGACTAAACACACCTCAGCCCTGCAACATCCTCATAATCGCTGCTCTCCTGGAACTCGTTGTTGCAGCCACTGTGAGAGTTCTTCTCAGTGAAGCCGTTTTGGGCCTCACCTTCTGTTTTACTAAGAATGACGTCCATCTCCAGAGAGTGGCCCCTCCCGCTCACATCTTCAAATTAACTAAACAAAGTCTCATAATCCAGTAAGGAGCATTCTGGCAACATTTCTTCTCAATCAACTTGCTTGTTCTTCTGGAAATTTCATGGTGTAGTCCAAAATCTTTACCAATATAATTCATAGGCATCAGTTCTTCAGTCTTCCTAATCACAGTCCAATTTTTACATGAACAACTGAAAATACCATGCCTTTGTTCAAATTCACCTTGTTCTCAAAGTGACGTCTTTGCTTTTTAACATTTTAAAGAGGCCTTTTGCAGAAGATTTACCTGATGAAATACATGTTGTTGTTGTTGTTAGGTGCCATCAAGTCACGTGTGACTTAATGACTCTGTGAACAGCAGATCTGAACCCTGTCCTATTCAGTGCCATCCTCAGCATCTCTGACACACTTGAGCCCATTGCTATAGTTACCAGTTTTGTTTATTTATTTCTCTGCTTATTTATTGTTCATCCAAGTAAATTCAAATCCTTGATAACTTTGATATTTTCCCCATTTATTTTTATGTTGTTTATTAGACCAATTTTAAGAATTTTTGTTTTCTTTTTGTCCAGTGTAATACAAACTGTAGGCTGTTCAAATAACAAAGACTAGATAAAGGAACTCCCTTCCTTTAGTAAATAAGATTAAAAAAAAAAAAAGACAAAAATCTTTGAGCTTCACTAAGTGCTTCAAATCTTCTTGGTTTTCAGCAAGCAAGATTGTATCATCTGCATATTAAAGTTTGTTAATGAGTCTCCCTCCAGTTCTGATGCTATGCTCTTCTTCTTAGTCTAGTTTCTCTGATTGTTCAGCATAGATTGATTAAAAATAGCAATAGAATATAATTCTGATGCATATCTTTTCTGATTGTAAACCATACAATATTTCCTTGCTCTATTCAAACAATTGCTTCTTGATCCATGTACAAGTCTCACATTAGCACATCCAAGTGTTCCGAAATTCTCATTTTCACAATATTATTCATAATTTATTATAATCCAAAAGTAGAAAGCTCTTGCAGAGGGAATAAAACACAGGTGATTTCTCTGTCTACTATCAATCCTTTTTTTAAAAAAATGAAATTTTTATTTTATAAAAAAGTTTGTATTGTTTTACACACCAGATCTTTCTCATTTCCTTTTCCCACCCCTTTCTCTACCCATCAAATTGTGCAACCCTGTAATTAACCACACACACACACCCTGCCCATCCTCACCCATCTGCTCCCCCCAAATTCCCCTTAGATCCTCATTCACATTTTACTAGCTATCTATTTCTACAATAATGGTATTATACAGTATTTGTTCTTATGGGACTGAGTTAGTTCACTTAGCATAATGCTTTCCAATTCCTCCCAAGTTAGGTAGTGATTTTAAAAAACATTGGTCCTGCATTCTGTGTTCTACTACTAATCTTATAGTTAGTTTGGTTATCAAATTTTATTTGGCTTTAAAATTCTGATTAATCTGGACTAAGGATTCAGTTTTGTAATCTTTGAATACTCATCCTTTTTGTTCATGTTGCAGTATTTTAGAGGATTTGGGTGTCAAGGTGTAAGGATTTTTGTTGTTTTTAAGTTTTGGTTTTGGTTAACTGACTAATGGTAGGATCTGTTGTTTTAGAATGATAGTTATTCATCTTTCTCACCCCAACTTTATCCTATTCTATCAAAACCCTATTGGCTCATAGAGTTTTCTAGGGTGTGCTATTTCAGAAGTGAACAGTCAATCCACCTTCTTTGTTTTAATTTGGGAGCTCCACTTTAGTAGAACATCTGACAGACAAGCACCATACCCAAAAAAGCAAATGACAGACAAGCAAATATATATGTATCTAAGCTATTAAGAGCAATAGCATACAAAGACACTTCTCCAACACAAAAACCCACAGATAAAGGATATCCTTAAGAGTAAATCATAGGTCAAGCAAAATTACATATAGATGTAATGACATGGGTGGCAGAAATTCCCACCTCAAGGTAGTGGCACAAGGATGTCTATTTATGTTTTGTTGACTATGAAAAGGTATTTGACTCTGTGGATCACAACAAATTGTGTATCACTGAGAAGAATGGGAATTCCAGAACGCTTGATTGTGTTCATGTGAAGCCTGTACCTAGAACAGGTAGTTGTTGTCCCAACAGAGAAAGGGAACATTGTACGGTTCAAAATTAAGAAAGGAGTGCAACGGAAATGTATCCTTTATCTGTACCTTTTCCATTTATGTGGGGGACAGATCATTCAGGAGATTGGACTTTATGAGGAGGAATGTGGTATCAGGATTGGAAGAATACTCAACAATCTGCATTATGTGTATGATACAACTTTGCTTGATGAATCTGGGGAGGACTTAAAGTGTTTACTGGAGGTCAGGGACTGTAATCTCCAATATGGACTGCATCACAACATCAAGAAAGCAAAGATTCTCACCATTGGTCCAATTGATAGAATCATAACAGATGGGAAGAGATTGAGGTTGTTAACAATTTCATCTTGCTTGGATCCACAATCAGTGCAACAGCAATAAGGCAATCAAAAGATGAGTTGCTTTAGGAAAGTTTGCTGTCAAAGACCCCTCTAGAGCTACAATATCAGTCTAGAGACTAAAGTGCATCTGATCCAGGCCACTTTATACAGATCCAGGTTTTCTCAGTTGCTTGCTATGCATCTAAGAGCTTGGCAATGACTTAGGATGGCAGAAGAAGAATTCATGCCTTTGAGTTGTGGTGCTAGAGAAGAGTATTGAACAGATTGTAAAGAGAACAAAAAAATCTATTCTGGAGAGGGTTAATTTTGGTTGCTTCTTGGAGGCAAGGAATTTGAAGCTCTGTCTCACATAATGGGGGCATGTTACCAGGAAGGACCAGTCCTTGGAGAAGGACATCATGCTTGAAATGACAGATGGTCAGCACAGGAGAGGAAGCCTTTGGATGAGATGGATAGACACAGTGACTGTGGCACTGGAGGCAGATGTGTCAGAGATGGTGATATTGGCTCAGAAAAGGACACGGTTCAGAGCTAAGTTCATATGGTCACCATGAGTAATAGTTTGATTAACAGCACATAACAACACAACAATGACATGCCCAAAATATGTGAAGCAAAGCTTTATCAACTTTGCCTCTAAGAAGCACTCCAGCTGCACTTTCTGTGCAGACATGTGACAGAGGTGATGTCATTTAATGAAGCTCATAAAATAATTAATGGCCATCAATTTTGTTGGTGTAAGAAATGGCAAAGGAAGGGGCTAAGTGTGAATTTCTGAAAAAATTTCCATTTTAGTAAGAGAGAGAATCTCTGTTTCTTTTGGGTGAAAAGATCTGCCTAACTTACCAACTGTTTCAGATTGTAGATGTTTTCATGGAAAACAGTCTAATTCCACAATGTACTTCATTCTTGTTGGATGCCTTGAGGAATAATCACCCAGGTGAAGGTCACCTCCAGACTCGACTGTTGGAAATGAACCTGCTTCATGCCCCCCAGGCAAGTGAGAATTCCCATCTAAAACCAGTGAGCAGAGCACCTGTGTCTGTCACACATGTGAGCCTAGCTGGCCTCACACAGCAACTCTGGAATGTGGTGGGCACCCAAATATCTACTTTGACATTCCTCTGGGAGAGTTCTTCCTCTCTCTCCCCAGCCCACCCCACAATGCACCCCTTGTTCCAGATTGTTGTCATACATATATTTCTAATCATATATTCCTTTTGGCCAATTCTTCCCTTCATCTGTTCTCATGCAGTGTTCTCCTTATAACATTTGGTTGGTGTTTTTTATCCTAAAATTAAAGGGAGTGAGTGTTATGTGTGAAGGCCTCCATAGTACATCCATAAAGACTAGTTACTGGTTAGATATATATGGCCAGGTTCTTTAGTAAATGCACAGAGTCCTAACCCAAAGACGATTTATTTAAAGATCATTTAAACTTCATCCCATTTGTTACAAGCGTTTTGCTATTCTTTATCTGCAAACCCCAACTCCTGTTCTACTTTTGACTTAGTAGAGAGTCAAGTAACCACAAGCACAGTATCTTTCTTTCCAATATAATCTCAACTGTTACTGAACAGGAAACTCTGGTGGCCTAGTGTTAAGAAGCTGTCCTGTAATCCCAAAGGCATGTAGTTCGAAGCCATCAGCTGCTCTCTGGGAGACAGATGAGCAATCTCCTCCCGTGCAATTAAACTGCCTCTGAAAACTCACCAAAGGGGTCCATTCCGACTCGATGGTACACAATAACAACATTAGTGAACTCAGAGTTGAGCTCATTAAAGTAAGGCTACTGAGCCACAGTTAGAATTGAGCTTCACACTGATTTTGGCATAGAAATGTCTGGAAGAATGTGACAGCTGAAAAGCAGGAGCAACAAACTGGACTCTAGTAATCCATATCCACATCCAATCCATTTGGTGTGTTTATCATGACAAGTGTAATCTATGTCACTGAACTGTAAATGTGGAAATTGTGTCAGGGGCTGGTTTGGTGTGTGTATTTTTCACCACAAGTTATAAAAGAAGGTTGTGGGAGTAAGGTGCACAGTTACTATAGTATTGTAGAGCCCCAGCCTTCCTGTCATCCGACCTCTACAGCCATGTGTGCCAGATCTGGCTACAACTTAGGAGGAAGAGGATTGTGGGAGGACCGCAGGTGACCTGGAAGGATTGTGGCCAGGGCCTGCTGAGGAAGAAGGCTACTGACACAGAAGCATGAATGCGGGTGTGGCAAAAACACGGTACTGCCCCAATAGGTACTGGCCTATCCGAGCTCTGATTCTAGAGCTGTTTCTGGAAAGCTACACCTCAGATATGATGACAGATGTGAGGGATTTCTTCCTGGGTTCCCTGTGTGCTAGGTTGCAGATGTCATGCTTGGAAGTCAGATGTTCACACATTATGACCGGGCCCATATTGCCCAGCTCTGTGAGAAGGCAGGTCTCCTGCAGAGAGCACTGGAGCACTACACTGATGTCTGTGACATCAAGAGGATTGTGATCCACACTCACCACCTCAGTCCTGAGGTAAGGCACTACTGAGCTATTCCTTCAGGGATGGTGTTCTCCAGTTGGTGATGTGTCATGCTCCCAAATTTCACACCCAGTTGCCAGCTGTTGATGACTTATAGCCCAGCCTAGGCCTTGCCAAGCTTCTCACATGCCATGCTTGACTGTCAAAAACAGCATGTATACAAACCTCACTTGATTCCAGCACGCCTGGACCAGGATCACCTCTCATCTTTCCATCATTTACTTTTTTACATAGTTTGGTAGCCAGGATAGCAATGACTTCTTAACAGCATCAGCTCTAGCAGGGTTGCCTGAAAACATCAGAAAAAGCTAAGACAGCTATATGTTCCAGTTAACACATTGTCATTGTTGTGGTTGCTTGTTGTGTGCCATCACGTCAGAACTGACCCATAGCTGACCCTCCAGCAGATTTTCAGAAACAGGAGGAGACTGTCCATTTTTCTCCCACGGAACAGCTGGTGGATTCAAACCACATGCCTTTAGGATTGCAACACAGCTTCATACTACTAGGTTTGGTATTAAACATGGAATATTCCAGCATCTGTGACAATTTAGGTCAGTGTTTTAGTCCAAGTTTCCTCTCCATTTCCACTGTTTACTATGATGGAGAATTGCTTTTCAGTACTTTAAAGTGGAGATTCTTTCTATATTTGACACTCCAGAAGAGAAAATATTTACCAGGTTAACAATGTTTAAGAATGAACAATGAGACAGCGAGACACTCAGTGAGACAGACAGCTGAAGATTGAGTGAGAAATCAAAAGCAACTGTCAACACATACCAGGGAGTTGCTTGCTAATGCCATGCACGTGCTAGGGAGCTGTTTGTTGATGTCAGGCACACGCTGGGGAGCTGCTTCCTTATGCCAGGCCCTCACCAGGGAGCTGCTTGTGGATGCCGTGCATGCACTGAGAAGCTGCTTGCTGAAACCACGCACATACTGAGGAGCTGCTGGCTGATGCCATGCATACACTGGGGAGCTGCTGATGCAGCTGGGGGAGTGATGAGCTGGGAAGAACAGGAAAACTGGAACCTGAGTAAGCATGAGCCCAGAACTCAAGTCCCATCATTGCTGGTCCGCACCCGGAATGCACACTGGGAGCAAAGCTGGAACTTGAGTGAGGTACTTTGTGGGGGTCACTGCTGTTTGGCTGGATCACATGGGACAAAGCTCAAACAAAAGGGAGTGAGACAGCAGGAGCTCGTTCTTGAAGGAAAAACCAAGGCTTCCTGGTTTTTCAATCAGATCTCCACGCTATGCCTTGCATCTCCTCACATCCAGTCCATCAACTGCCTTTAGTCCAGAGTACCTTGGGCTACCCTAGCTACAGTAGTTGTCTGATAGAGGAGGCTGCTTCTACAGGTCTTTTCTCTATAGAACTGAGAGAAACCCAGGCAAGGTAGCTGTCCCACCCTCTTCTGGAGCAGTGATTTCAGATAAAGAACTTGCTATCACCTCATAAATGAAAAACTATACCACAGCAATATTATGTAGGAAGCAGGCTACCTCACCTCCTACACAAGCCCAAAGCAAGATGTCACCCAAAAAAGAGTGACACCGTATTAATGGATTTCCTGAAGCCAGAAAATCTGATGACAAATACTGACACAGAATTTAAAAAAAACAATGATTGGATATTTTCAATGGCTGAAAGACAAACCTGAAGAATTACAGGACACTGCAAGCAAAAACCAGGAGGGGCATAACAAAACAATGCAGATAAAACAAATGAGGCATTAGAGGCTCTGGAAAAACAAGAAACCACAATACAAAATACGGGGACCAATGTTTCAGATGCTGTCAAATGATGGAGGGTCACATGAACAGGGTTGAAGAGCTGGAACACTGAACCAGTGAAATATAAGATGGAATTGTCACCACTGATCTGCAACAACAAAAACCAGAATCAATAAGAAAGAAAAAAGAAGAAAACCTAAGAATAATGTGGGACACTATCAAGAGAAATAACATGCACATGATCGGAATCCCAGAACAGGAAGAAGCAAGTAAAGGCACCAAAAAAAAAGTTGTAGAAGAATTACTATAAGGAAATTTCCCAGGCATAATGAAGAATAAGAGAATATATTATATATTCAAGAAGTTGAGTGAATAGACCCCAAAAGAAAAACACCAAGACATATCCTAGTCAAATTTGTCAGAATCAAAAATAAGAATTCTGAAAGCAGTGAGAAAGAAACAGAGAGTAACCTTTAAAGGAGAGCAAGTAAGATTAAGTGCCAATTTCTCAGCAGAAACCATGTGAGTAAGAAGACAGCAGAATGACATATCTTGAACACAAAGAACACAACTGTCAACCTAGAGTATTATATCCAGCAAAATTGTCCATCAAATATTAAGGAGAAATAAAGATATTTCCAGAAAGACAGAACCTAAGGGAGTTCATAAAAACAAGACCAGCATTGTAGGAAACACTGAGAGACATCCCTCTTACAGAGGTGCCACAGAAAGCAGGATGAACTAAAGTAACTAGCAACAACAACAAAAAGAACTCAACAAAATGATAGCAATGAAACCTTGCCTCTCAATAATAATACTGAATGTAAATGGTTTAAATGCACCAATGAAGAGAAAAAGAGTAGCAGATTGGATTAAAAAAAAACAACAACAAAGCAAAACCCAAAACCAGAATCCATTAATATGCTGTCTACAAGAGACACATCTGAAAAATGAAAATAAAGACTAAAAGTAAAAGGGTGAGGGAAAAATATACCAAGCAAATGGCAACCAGAAAAAAGCAGGAATGGTGATATTTCCTATAAAATATATTTCAATGCAAAAACATCATAAAGGACAAGGAAAGTCACTACATAATGATTAAGGTGTCAATAGAACAAGAAGATACAACGATAATAAATATTTATGCACCTGCAAAATATATAAAACAAACATTAACAAAACTGAAAAAAGAAATAGACAACACTATTATAGTAATTGGAGAATTCAATACACCCCTCTCAAGAAAAAGATAGAACTTCCAGAAAGAAATTAAACAAAAATGCTGAAGAATTAAAGCACAATATAAACCAACTTGACAGGGGCACACACCAGCCTCTCACTGGAGGCCGTGGCAGTGGAGGCGTGAGCTGCCTGATAACGGCAGCTGCATGAGAAGGAGAAGTGGTGATGGCTACCCTGAGAAACCTCAACCTTAAAGATGGTGAGTAGCCAGTCAAAGTACAATCTAATATGAGAGGTAGGTCGAGGTAGTTACTGTGTTGTGTATGAAGCAGTCATCAGGAAGGCTTCTGCATGGGTCACAGTGAAGAAAATGTGATGCCATGCACCTGAAAATGTTGAACTGGCACTTCGTGAATTCTGGGCACTAAGCAGTATTAAGAGCCAACATCCAAATGTGATTCACTTGGAATAATACATTTTACAAAAGATGGAATGGTGCAAAAGATGTCCCATGGCTCTAATTCTTTAGTTTACTTATAGTTTGTAGATAATTCATTAAAATGAGACATTGCCTTTGATCCCAGAAGCACCTATTACTTGTGGTTTGTCATGAATTTTTGTGACAGTGGTGATATGAATGAGTATCTGTTGTCCAGGAAACCCAATCATAAAATTAACACCAGCTTCATGCTTCAACTGAGCAGTGCCCTGGCTTTCTTGCATAAAAACTGGATCATCCATCAAGATCTCAAGCCTGATAATATCGTGATTTCTCAGAGTAGGCTAGATTCGAGTGACTTGGAACTCACACTGAAAGTGGCTGATTTTGGTTTAAGTAAAGTTTGCTCAGCCACTGGGCAGAACCCAGAAGTACCTGTCAGTGTAAACAAGTGTTTACTCTCCACAGCATGTAAAACAGATTTCTACATGGCTCCTGAAGTATGGGAGGGATGTTACACATCAAAAGCTGACATCTTTGCTCTAGATATTATCATCTGGGCAATGCTGGAAAGGATCACATTCATAGACACAGAGACTAAGAAGGAACTTTTGGGGAGTTACATAAAACAAGGAATTGAGATTATGCCTGTAGAGGAGGCACTTTTGGAAAATCCCAAAATGGAACTTCTCATTCCTTTGAAGAAAGTCTATGAATGGCTGAATGAAACAATTGACTAAGGAAATGCTGGCTGCAAACCCTCAGAATCGACCAAATGCTTTTGAACTAGAACTCAAGTTAGTACAAATTGCATTTAAAGATAGCAGCTGGGAAACATGACACATACAATGTTTGCAGATATCTTGAATGATGTGCTGCTACTGTTTTAACAGTGATGCAACATTATATGGCTGAAAAATTATATAGAAAGCCAAACACCTTCTAAGGGTTTAGGTTTTATTGTAGGGTATTTTTCCCCCCCTCATTTTTCTTAAGTCCAAATGGGTCATTTTGTTGGTATGTTTTAAATGTGTATTACCAATGTGAGTGTAAACGTTTTAAAATGATTGTTGGTAGAAGTTTGGCAGGAAATTCTCTAGGAGCCAAGAAAAGAAGAGTCCAGTATTCTGGAACGATGTCTCTTATTTTAGACATTCCTTATCAGTATTGGGAATTTCCATGGAAGAAGGGATTTGCATGGTAGCAATGCAACCTTTGAAGCTTTGTAAAGGAAACATATTTATGTTTATGTAAGTATGTGAATGTGTACATTTTGCATTCCATATGAAGAAAATGCCACTTTTGTTTCAATTATTTGATGTAGGCTTGAGTTTTTTACATTTGCTGGTGAAATCAGTGATAAAAAAAGAAGAAGAAAAGCCCATAAAACCTTGCCTTATCTTTTTACTCTGTTGCTTCTTCTAATGAAATCATACTGTTGATTATTTTCATCTAACATTATTAAACATAAATGAAACGAAATCGTCCAAAGCCAATGAAGTATGTTTGTGCTCTCCAGTGCCCTATAGCTGCAGGACTTGAGTTAATTATATAGTTAGGTGGTAATAGGTTTGCAAGGATTCAGTCATACCTTCTTTTAGGCAACCAAGCATTCAATTTAGCCAATTAAACCAC